TCGAAATTTTTCGTGACTCACCCGGTGAGTAAGCTGATGTTAGCGTGCACAGAAGACAGTACATTGTTTTCACCACTAGCGGCACATTTTTGTTATTGTGTAGGTACATCAGTACAGCTAGCAGGATAGGTACACACTTCTACCACAAACGAAGTGACAGACGGAGCGGCTCGAAAACTTTGGTGACTAACCTGCTATTTCAATTTTTCAGTGTACCACATGGCAACACCACTACTACTGGATTGTACCACATGGCAACACTACTACTGGATTGTACTAGCATTTTCACCAAATGTATTAGAATGTCTTTCACTCTACTCAAAACTGAAATGCATAAAAAAATGACAAAATGATACACTCTTTGCACACTGTCAAAGATCATATTGCACCCAAAATCAACTATGTTCAAATAAAAATACTAGCCCATCTAGTGGCTAATGGCACAAGCTTCTAAGAAAATTCTATTACAGCGAACCACATTATTTTAATTGATTTCGCCAGTTAGTCGTCGGTCACTTCGTTTGTGCTTCTACTGTTTGCCCAAACAATGTCTTTACAGTTTGAAGGCTCCGGTATCCGTCATCAATCATATGTGGGAACCGCTGCATCTCCAAACACCTATCCCCCTTAGGGCCTGTCGTGGTGGCATGAAGATGCTCCCCCCTCAACAACGATCGAAATCGCATGCACTCTGCTTACAACGGTGGAACTTGTAACACTCGCGACAGAAGTCATGATGATCCAGCCCATCTGCAGGACCCAATCAGAACTACTTAATGCAGGCGTGTCCTTCTCCAATAAGTATGGACCAAGAAGTCATCAAAATTGCTAATTGGAACGCTTTTTCGCTCAAGTGTAACAACATCAAGTTTTCGGAGACGAGCCAGCCAACGGCTGAAAGTCTCCTTAATAAAGATATATAAAAAAAAAAAAAACAACATCAAGTTCGTTGAATTCCTCAACGAACGAAACATTGATATAGCCATCATCACCGAAACGCATCTGAAGCCCGAGATTAACGTCTTCCTTCCCGATTTCTGGCTTGTGAGGCTGGATCGAACCAGCTCTGGAGAGGAGGAGTGGCCATCGCTCTGAAGTGGAACATCTACTGTCGGTTGCTGTCGAGCTTCCAGCTGAAGACGATCGAAGTCGTAGGGGTAGAAGTTTCAATTACTGTCGGCCCAACACCATCGTTGCGGACCGCCACCATAACTCGGACCACTATCCGGTGGTGGTCGAAGTGGGTTATACAACAATGTTATTCTACCGTTTGTGTTGTGTGAGAAAAGACAACGGTAGCGCATGAGTGTGCGAATACAAATAGACAGTGTAGTAAAAAACGTCAACCGTTTCAACCCCTGGTCACGACACAAGCCTAAATGAAACCTGCCAGCTTTGCAACTAAATTCTCTAGCGTGTTCCCTAATGAGAGTAGCATTTCCCAAAAAGTAGAATTTTAAAGTAAATGTCTTTCGAAGATATCCTTTCTTTTTAGTCCTAATTATAATTTTAAAAGCACTTTTTCCCTTGATTTGTCTTCCGTCGTTCTTGTTTTCCCTCGATCTTGTTTTCCGTACTGAGTACCAACGCTACTTGACACCAGTGAGGCAGCTTCCCCTGGACCCTACCTATCGACCCATCAACTCGTGGACCGGGGACCAACGGCTTTACTTCCCTTGCGAAGAAAGGCGTGATCAGAGATTTTATGCCTCAGAAAATTCCTGCGGCGCCGACTGGGATTGAACCCAGGTCTGCTGGGGTGAGAAACAATCGCGGTTACCACTACATCATTGGCGCCGCTATTAGTTTATTCAACATGCTCAAATATACATAAAACTCTATGGAGCCGTATATATTTATTTTAAATAGCTGAGTTTGATGGTTTCCTTAATTTCAACGCCGCCACTCTTCAAATTGTTGTTTACAACAATTCAAAGAAATACGTCATAATACGTTTAAATTCATATTTCATGTCATCACTTGCAAGAATTATGGTGATGAATTAGTTCATATATACATACCAATTGAGTCTTGATTAGGAAAATAGAATTTTTAGCAAAAATATTACACACGATGCTTGTTTACAGCCAAAAGACCCTTGTGTTGAATAAGTGTTATATGGCTTTTACGATTAAATAAAACGCAGTAGATACATATAACGCAGTAGATACATATAACGCAGTTCAACGATTGAAATTTTTGTATCCACTTCGTGTTTTGCATCTCTTAAATCGCATATTACTTTCGCAGATTAATACCTACGGCATTTTCAAGCTCTTATTTTGAGCTTTAAGAACGAAAGCGCACCACCGGCTACAAACTATAGCGCACTTTTTTAGCAATACATTTGTATATTTTTGGATATAATTTTATGCAGTAAATCATTTTCCATTCAATTTTTGATATTTTAAATTCAATACAGGCACACATATAAACAATTTCTTCGAAGGAACCATTTCAGTTAGTGCTTCCAATAAAGCCAAAAGACGCTGACAATATAGACATTCATGAAAAACTAGGTCCCTGATTCAAATGTTATAAACAATATTAGAATTCAATGGATTCTACTAAAACTATAGATATAAATCACAAAAGAATCAAAAGGAAACCAGCAAAAATATAATCTTAAGGATACAACCACTTGAATTTTTAGGGTTTTGGCTGCATTTGAACCATATGAACAAAACAAGATTCGAGTCAATGAACTTATGAAGCGTTAGCTCTGTGCATCGCGAACACTTTATCTTGCATAATGTACTGCTATCTTTGACAGCGGCGCCGGTGGTGTAGTGGTAAGCGTGATTGCCTATCACCCCAAAGGGCCTGGGTTCAATCCCAGATAATGCCGCCGGGATTTTCTGAGGCATAAAATCTCCTATCACGTAAGGTTGGTCCCCGATTCATGAGTTGTGATGGGTCGATATGTAGGGTCCAGGTGTGGGAGCTGTCTCCCTGGCGTCAGCGGTAGCATTTGTACTGAGTACTGAAAACAAGGTCGACGAAAAACAAATCAATGACAAAAAAGCAATTTTTTAGCAAAACAAGGCACCAATCTCGAAAGCTGCGTTACAACGATTTGCTAAGGTTGCTACTTCGTCGCACTAACTTATCATGAACGATGCGATACATGCAAGATTCGCAGGTTGGAGTATCTTCAGTGTTCGCCTTCCATCTGACGTGAGAGATGATTCATTTGTGTTAGCAAGCTAGCTGGTTAGCAATTTTTTTCTATTTTCTCTGGCGCAGTAAGCCGTGAATGTGCTTCGTATTTATTAGTAGTCATCAGTCTTGTAAGTGGTCACCGTAGTCGACGCATTTTTTTGTGATAATCGACTGCTTTTGCTTCCGACACTTGCGAAACAAGCTATCAAATTACAGTACCAAACTAAAATGTCTTATGACCGGCTCTGTCATACGACACTGTCACCGAAGACCGTCACAAATGTATGTATTTTAGTTCTTCTCATAATAACGACTGATGATGTTGTGCTTGTGTGATTTCTGAAAATAGCAAGCTACGATGTCCTAGTTATAAAATTTCTGATTAGAAATGGTTTAATTTACTCAAAATTGACGAATTAGAACGCAATCATACATGTCCTATGATAGTTATTTGATAATTTTATTTTTGGTCGAATGTTGTTCTACCATTTGTGTTGTGTAAGAGAGACGACGGTAGAATATGAGAGTACGAATACAACAGACTGTCTCGCAGGACAACGAAGTGAGTTTAGTAAAAAACGTTAACCGTATCAGCCCTTGGTAGTGATGCACAAATAGTGGTCCCAGCTAACAGGTGGCCGACAAGGTGTTTATATAATAAATTTATTCGTGCTGGTAACCAAAATTCCACTCCAAAATTACTCACTTGCATAGGCCCAAATTTGGAGCACAAATACTAACTTTACCTACTCGTGTTCAATACTAGTGAAATATTGCAATCATATTTTACCTTAAAGAAGCTTGACTTAATCCTACTTTATTTTGCTTGACGAGAAAGATATACGGTTACATAAGAAGGCTTGTACAATAGCAGAGTGAAACGTAGTTGAGCATTGAAAGGGGGAGATGAAGCTAATTATCGTTCTCTGTGAGCAATTTTACGAAGATTTGATAGCTCTTATTCTTACAATTCATTATTAAGTAATGCCATTATGTTAAAACACAAAAATGAATAATTTAGCACAACATAACACAACAATGGGGACAAAAATAATTCAATTTGTTTTCGTGCATTTGCGTCTATTTTTTTTGGTAATAAAATATTTATTATTTAGTACTTCGTTAAAATTACTGCTCGTGGCATTCTGTCAGTATGTATATCTCCTGTATAAACGCAAACACTAAATAAATGTATGAGAAATTATACGTTATCATTTATGAATAATATATTAAAAACTTATGTTTATATGCTAATGGAAATGACAAAACTATAAATTAATTCAAATGAAAGCTGATGCAACTGGCATCAACAGAAGGAAAACATATGTCAAGTTGCATAGCTCTTTCATCATGTATTCTAAATAAACCATAAATAAATGACAATTAACAAATCTTACTGTAGTAAACTTTTATGTTATACTGAATGCTTCCTTCGTTGGATTGGGCCCCTTCTCTCTCTACTTAGTATACACTCCTTCGGTAAATGTTTCGTTTTGTTTCATGTCTAAGTAAAATTTCACAACTTTCTTTGATTTTGAAGTCGTAGCACTAAAAAAAAAAACTTCTTGCGTTGACAAAACAACAATAGCCAATGCTGAAATGTATGCCATTAATGCATGAAACAGTAGAACTGTTGCGTCTGTAGTATTAATACCAAATTAATTTTCAGTTCCATTAGGTTTGTTTTCATTTCCTTCATGTTCTTGCATAGTGTGTGGCAATAAATGTGTAGATATTTTTGCATGACCTCTTTTTTGCATGATCTTGTTTTTTTCTCCATAAAGTTAAATAAAAAACAAAAAAAAAAGTTTTGAATAATAAGCTGTTCTTCATAGGCACATATTTCAATTGCATCATGTTCATGGTGGCATCGTCGGTAGTTCTCACCGTTGTGGTATTAAATTATCATCACAGAACAGCCGATATCCATGAAATGCCTCCTTGGGTAAAGAAACAAAAAATAAATTATGAAAAAAAAACACAAACCAATATGTTTATACATTTTTGATTACAGATAAAATCAGTATTTCTTCAGTGGCTGCCTTGGATTTTACGCATGGGACGTCCCGGTAAAAAGATAACTCGGAAGACTATCCTACTGTCGAATCGAATGAAAGAACTCGAATTGAAAGAAAGATCGTCAAAATCTCTGTTGGCGAACGTGCTAGATATTGAAGATGATTTTAGACATGCAAGTGGTGGTATTACAGGTTCAACTACGGCGATTAGTACGTCAGGGTAAGTATAGATATACATGAAGCACCGACTTAATTACAAGTTTTATTCATTTATACAATAATTGTGGGTTGAAGTTTTTAATGTACAAATAAACAAATAAACAAGCGTAGAGGTGTGCACCGATCAAAATATTAGTAGCAGCAGCATGCTGTGTTGGTTTCTGTCTCCGCTTAACTAATAATTTTGGCTTTAAGAGGGTTCTGTAGACCATGATTTAGAATAGTAAAATGATTTTAAGACTCCTTTAAACTTGTAATGTTACCTGGGTAACCCACAATGGTGCCAGAGGTATTGATACGCGCGTTTAATTATTTACGCTGAAATGGTTGATTGTAGAAGTTTGATATCACAACCCGAAAACAAACAAAAAACCTATTGACTTTGACACTCACTCAACGTGAAACTAACAATGTGTTATACAAATTAATAACGATGGCCAATAGACCAATACTTAAAGAATATTTAGGAGAATATTCGGTTTCAATAAACGCCCTCTAGGCGAAAATTACATAATGTTATATTTTGTACAACGCGCGACAAAAGTTTTTGTACAACGCGTGTTACAAAAGTTGACGCGATTACTGAAAGGTGTGTATAGGTATTAAAAACTCCTTCTGATGGTATAAGCAGATTACCGATTAATTCCTCTACAAGTGAAATAGAAAATCTATTTTTTATAATAGTTTTTCTAGAGGCTATTTGTTTTTTTTTGTATTAATTTATTTGCACAGGCTCAATCGAATAAACTATACAGAGCCAAGTTATCATTTGCGTTACACATAATTAATGTTTTTAATCTAGAGTTAAAGGAATTGAACCGATTACTCGCGGTCGTCTCGAGGTTAGTAGGGATTTACAGTTTTATGGATGGGGAGAGGGAGAAGCATCGTAGGCGATTTGTCGATCGTAAATATCGCCTTTCATAGCGCCCACCTTAGCAAGTGAGTCCGCCATCTCATTGCCCGGAATCGAGCAATGAGATGGGACCCATGCAAAGGTGATAACAAAAGATCTTAAAGATAAAACACTTAATACCAAAACCAACGGACGCTTCTATTAATGATCCATCTGTGAAGAACGATCTTGCGGAATCAACTTGGCCAAACTTTGCAGCATAAATTGACGGAACAATCATGGAACGATGATGTTCTGTGATCCCACGAATCTCCCGCTTCATAAATACATCAAAACTAACTGAATTGCCGAAGTCGGAGAAGCATACACGATGAGGATCATACTGTGAAGGGGTGACATCCAGTGTTATGCACACGTAAATAGTACAATGACATAAAACGAGTTTGAGGGTTCAGCTCAAGAAGCTTTTCAAAGTTTTCGATTACCAGTGGCTTCATAACTTCACAACGGGTGAGGAGCCTGAGGGACAGTTCCGAAAACCGATCGGATAGTGGCAACATGCTCGCCAACACTTCTAGACTCATCGTATGAGTCGAGTTCATGCATTCTAACGCGATACGAAGACAACGATACTGGATACGTTTCAGTTTGATGATGTGAGTTTTAGCCGCCGACTGGAAACAAAACCTACCGAATTCTAAAACCGATAAAATCGTTGTCGGTTACAACGTAAGAAGATCTTGTGGATGAGCTCCCCACCACGTTCCGGTAATTGTTCGGAGAAAATTGATCCTTTGTTGGCATTTTCGTCTGAGATACTCAATGTGGGATCGCCAGGAATCGAATCAGACCCCAAGATATTTGAAAGACATGGAATGTTCAGTTTTACGATATTTGCGTAGCGCTAAAGGGCCACCCACATTAGATCCGTTTGCGTTGCGTTGACGTAAATTTGACAGTTAGACAATAGATTTAGCTGTCACTTTGCCGCAACGCGTCCGATCCGGATCTAATGTGCGTGGGCCTTAACAGTTTTCTTCATATTAATAGCAATTTAAATGTGTCAATGTATGTTTAAAGCTAGTGAATTTTCTATAAACATCGATCCGAAACGATTTGCGAATCTGTGTGGAACTACTCAAAAGTGATTCTTTCTGCAAAAATCCCATTTAGCCATTCAGCAGAATGCAATCGTAATAGGCTCAGCGTGGACAAAATAATAAGTGAGGAATCATCCACACTAATACACTTTTTTTTTCTTTTTTTTTTATACAGTGGGGAATCTGCTCCCAGATACCTGAGAAGATAACTCTGGGTGTGGGGATGGGAGAAGTAGTGCTCCCGACCCACTAAACCTTACCCTGTGCTCTAGGCCCTTGCCCTCCCCGGAACCACCCGAAAGCATTACATCATGGGAGGGGACCGGTTGCGCTAGTGGTGTGTCAGACGTGACACTCGCTGCTGCACAGTGAGCAGCTGTACAGGACCTTCCTCTTGTTGTTCGCTGTTAATTGTTCGCCTGAGTTCTAGAGCAGACGTGATAGCCAGCCAACTGTCCAGGGCCAAACAGGACAGATGTGACCGCTTACCAGCTGCGTGTGGTAAGCACTCTAAGAACCCGGTGTCACTCCTGCCTTTGCACAACGACGGTTTGTGCAGGGCTTATCGACCTCCTGGGACGAGCTGGATGGGGCTCCAGCGTCCTTACTCTGCTGTAGTTCATTTGGCCGCAATATATCTCCCTTGGGTTCGATAATTAACGTTTCCAGGGCACACCACGAGGAGTCGAACTACTTCATGCCCCCACACTACTACACTTAGAATCATTCATGTAACGTTCAGCTGTATGTTTTGCTCAATTTTGCGTTCATCGAAGAAAATAGAAGCAATGCGAATACGAGCGAAATCAGTGCGGCTCGTTTATGATGAACAACAACATTGTATGCAAGTGAGTAGTAAATGCAAAATGAAACGATTTTTCCCATGATTGGTGTTAAAAGTGAAAAAGGAAAAGCCTCGAAAATGAATCTAAATGCATAAATAAGGCCGAAGCTCTGTAATCTGGGTGGAAAGCATGGTCCTACGTCAAGCTTCCGGTCGCCTAGGCACAGACCTTTCAACTTTTTTCATCTGTTCAGGACATAAAACCCAGGCATACCAAAAGTACCACCTCATGACAGTATTCCAACGGCTGTCGCTTTCTTTTTCCTACGACAGCCTTGATATTGAGCTTTAAGCGACAGCCCACAGTGCGGCTGTTATACGACATGCAACGTTGCCGTCTTGTGCAGTACACGACAGCTCGTTCTTAGTCATGTATTTTGTTCGTTCGGCTATGACAGCCTAGGATGGTCATTCGTAACGTTCCTCGTACATACAACAAGCAGTCCGTCAAACTGCCGATTCGTTGCTGCTGTCTTTGAAATTTTGTTTGTATGTCGCAAGACTGCTACTACACTACCAGTGTGGCGCCGGAGCTCGTTCGGTTGCTATCACGTTCGTGCTTCCCATTGCAAAATTTTCATCCGATATTTTTTCAAAACGCGCGGTCTCCGGCGAAAAATATAAGCCTACCCGACACCAACCTGACTTCTACCTAACCCCAAACCGATGTTGGCCCAACATTTACCCGACATATACACATAATTGACCCGACATCAAGCCGACATTTGGCCGACGTCGACCATAAATTGACCTTACATTGATCTGACATAGGGCCGGCATATATGTTCGGGATCATTCTTCTGGGTTTCTTCCATACTCCACTGCCGTATATCAATTGTATATAATGTCTCGTGACAGCCACTTGGGTAAGTTGAGGGATGTCGTCGGTTTGTGAAGGCTGTTCATAAAGAAATGTATAAAAACAGCCTATTCGGTTTACTACGTTCCAAGCACGATGATTTTAGCAAAGCTGTTCTAATACAGCTTTCATTCGTTCGTGCGTGCGCTGTTGCCAATACACTTCGAATTCAGATCTGAACGTACGGTAGCAAGCGGTAGTAAAGCACACAAAGCAACAGTCAATTCAGGTATAAACCAACTGTCGCGAGGAGGCTGTACCAACAATCAATACGAAACTAACGATTTTAAATTGCCTAGCCTATTGGTCTCAAGCAAACGATTAACGTACCCCATTCTAGTCGAAATTCTACTACTACACAATGTTTGTTTTGATTCACTATGAAAGTTTGACAGATAAAATGAGGGGTTAGTGGATTTTCCCATATTTTGAGGGGTGAATCAATTAGCTTGGGACCGAAGTGAGTACCAGAGCTGAGCCAAAAAGGTGAGCACGTTATTTCGGGACCTTCTAGTCTTAGAGTTACTTCTATGGTATTACCATAGAGGTAACTCTAAGACCAGAGGGTCCCGAAGAAACGTGCTCAACTTTTTGGCTCAGCTCTGGTACTCTCTTTGGTCCCAAGCTAATCGATGCACCCCTCGAAACATAGGAAAATCCAAGAACCCCTCATTTTATCTGTCAAACTTTCATAGCGAATCAAAACAAACATAGTGTAGTACTGGAATTTATACTAGAATGGGATATGTTAATCGATTAGCTTAGGACCAATGGGCTAGTCAAGTAGTGAGCCAATTTAAAATCGTTAGTTTGATATTGATTGTTGTTAGTACTCCATCACTATTGAGAAACGATGAAGTATTCGGTTTTGATACAGTTGTCGTCGCAGGGAATCGATTCTAATTGAAAGGTTTCACTATTTATACACTTCGAAAAGTAAGAGCCCTTTCCAAAGGCGCATCCCTTTGTCAGTCAAAATCGGATTCCTTAGCAACAAAATTAAGCCGACCAACACCGATAATAACCATGCATCAGAACCACTTCAAACTAGAGAATAACGAATAGAAGATTAGGATGATGAAGACTAAGAAGATCACATAGATGAAGGCTAACTAACTCATGTTTTTCTTGTTTCAAGATCATCCTCGGTGGACAGAGCCTAGTCTTGCCACTATCAACGAAGCATAACAATAAACAAGGACTAAGATGTGCTCCTTAGTTTTGTCGGAAGACGACATGGATGACCGATCATCTCAGACATCTGATGATATCAACCCTGGTTCGTCGTCTCAATCTAGGAAAAGCACTAGATCGCGGGCCTACCCGAATGACTCGATTGGTG